GTCCTGGACAACTCATATGAAGTGCCTGAGTTTGAACCTGAACTGAAACCTCAACAGGAGTATGAACCACTACAATCAAGGCCTAAGAGGAAGTACCAGTTACCTAGCAAATATTACGACTGTGAACTGGATCCCGGCTTACAGTTTGGGGCCTTTGGTTCCTCTGGACAGAATGCAGCTGTCAGCAGGTATCCAATTGCACTAAATGTGGATCATTTGAACTCTGCTGACAGGAAATATGCATTAAGCATTATCCATCAGGAAGAGCCACTGACCTATCAAGAAGCCATCAAGTATGAACACTGGAGAAGGGCTATGAGAGAAGAGTGAGACTCATTGGAAGCCAATCAGACCTGGGACATAGTCCCATTACTCGAAGGAAATAAGTTGATTGGAAATAAATGGGTTTACAAAATCAAACTCAAGCCAGATGGTTCTCTTGAGAGATTCAAATCAAGATTGGTTGCAAAGGGGTTTACACAAGTGTATGAAATTGACTTTCTAGACACCTTTTCCTCAGTTTCCAAGATCAACTCAGTCAAGGCATTACTGGCTTACAGCAGTCAAGAATTGGACATTGGAACAAATGGATGTCTCCAATGCCTTCTTACATGGTGAGTTAAATGAGGAAGTTTATATGCAGTTGCCACCAGGGTTGGATTTGGAGACATTTCGAACACAGAAAATGGTTTGCAAACTGAAGAAATCCTTATATGGATTGAAGCAAGCATCCAGACAGTGGTTTGCTAGACTAAGCAGCTTTCTCTTGATGGCTTTAGCCAATCAGCCTCAGACTACTCTCTATTCACTAAGTGGATTAGAGGTTGAATTGTTGTGTTATTGGTTTATGTGGATGATATAATAGTAGGGGGAGATGCTCTGAAAGACATAGAACAGGTTAAGAAGGTTATAAGTCAAGAGTTTAAGATGAAGTTGTTGCATCCATTGAAGTATTTCTTAGGTCGGGAAATCAATAGGACAACAAGTGGTATAAGTGTGTGTCAAAGTAAGTATTGCCTAGAGTTGTTGAAAGAGACAGGTTACCTAGATGCTAAAGGGTGTCAAACACCATTCGATAACAAAGAAACTTTCACCAACACAAGGAAAACCATTGACAGATCCAGAGCAGCACAGAAAACTGGTGGGAAGATTGCACTACATCACAAGCACCAGACCAGACCTGGCATTTGCTGTTCAACAGCTATGTCAGTTTCAAAAGAAACCACATGAAGATCATCTTCAAGCAGCCTACAGAGTTATAAAGTATTTGAAGAGTAGTCCAAACCAAGGAATTCATTTTGACAGCAATGTTGAGTTGAAGTTAACAGGTTTCTGTGATTCTAGCTGGGCAAGTTGTCCAGATACCAGAAGGTCAACAACTGGCTATTGTACCTTTATGGGAAAATCATTTCTTACCTGGAAAACTAAGAAACAAACCACTGTCACAAGTTCCTCATATGAGGCTGAGTACAGGGAATTGGCGATAACAGTATGTGAAATCCAATGGTTAAAGGGTTTGTTTGAGGAGCTAAGAGTGAAGGTGCCATTACCCATTACCGTTTTCTGTGATAACAGGCCACCTATACACATTGCTGAGAATCCCATTTTTCATGAGAGAACAAAGGATATAGAGAATGACATACGTGTTACAAGGGAAAGAATTAAGACAGGTTTGATCAAGCTTTAGCATGTTAGCACTGTTAATCAGTTGGCAGATATATTCATAAAAGGGCTAGAGCAGGCAAGACTTAAAGATCTGTTGTCCAAGTTGGGAGTCATTCTTCCTGCCACAACTTGAAGGGGAGTGACAGAGTTGATTGAAGAAATGGAATATAGAATGCAGAAAGATTACTCTGCAGAAGAAAGAAGAAAAACACTCTAAACCTCTACTAGAGAAACGTTTTGAGAAGAGTCTCAGAGGCTAGTTTGTTTTAGTGGTGTTGCGCACCGTTTTACTCTAATTCTAGATTAGCCATTAAAGAACAGTATTATGTTTAAACCTAGCCAGTCGAGATGTGACACATGGCGTTTATCTGTAAACCGAATTACAAGCTGATATAAAAGGAAGTAGAGCAGCTCACTACTGTCTCTGTACATTTCGGCCAATCTTTACCCTAGCACTTGAAAATCAACATGGATATCCGAAATCTCCCTCCCAAGATTCCATATCCGCCAATCGATATCGGTTGTTCCTTCCCGTGTTCCATTATTTTTTTTGCAGGTTTTTGCTAGGTTCTGTCTTCCCAGCGCTTAATCTGGGCCAGCAGAGACAAAGCAAGCTCGTGAGACAAGGGAAACGTGGTGGGAAGTCCGATTCGCCTACCTATACCGCCCTGAGATGGCAGAGGATGAAGAAGACAGTGGTAGCTTCAAAGTCGTTTTTCAGGTTTGGGGGTTTCGTCCACAATAGCTTGCTTCCAATATTTTTTCGCAGATTGGCTTACCTATACCTTTCCCCTGTTTTTTTTTGTAGTTTCATATCCGCTTCAGCCCAGCCGCTACGAGTTCCCGTACACCGCCAGTATGCTTGGGATTCAGGTCGATCTGGGTATGTAGTCCCTTATTTTGGCAGGAGGAAGAACGGAAGTGGGAGGTGAAAAATCGAACAAAGTGACTGGATGAGGCTTGAGATGGAGGCGAGGCTAGAGATGGAGGATCGACGATCTAGGTTGCTGCGGGCAGAGGCGTGCGGTGGTGATGGTAGCGACGATATGGGTTTTGTGGGTATTATTTGGGTTCTGGAATGGAATTCGAAAAGAGAAATGGGGTGGATATTGTTTAGGATGGAGGCGACGATCTGCTTCCGGCAAAAAAAAAATTTTGTTCTTTATTTTGTGTTGTTTATTTTGAGTCTGTTAAATCGACACAAATAATTAGTATAGCTATAAAAATGATTATTATTATAATTACGAAAATGGTTTTTAATGATTTGTTTAGTTTCGGTTCAATCGACATTAAATAACCGACGCAAAAGATTTTGTGTCGGTTATTCCAGCGGTTGGCTTAAATCGACACGAATCAGGTTAGTGTCGGCGGTTTTTGTGTCGGTTAACAAATAAATGACACTAAATGCTAGTTTTCTTACAGTGTTTAATTGTGCTTGGGTAAGTCGCCCTAATCTTCTTTATTAGCCTATTTGAGCTTCTATGTTGGGTATGGAGTTTTAGGGTTAGACGGGTATGCGCCATCTTGCAAATTATGGTTAGATGATTGAATAGTGTCTTGTGGTGACGAGGCGACCGTACCCCTGCCACAAGAACGCCTTCCTACATGGAACCCGGGACGGTGGGTAGTACCTATTGAATGGATCTAAGTTCTTAAAGTCCTAGATACGTGAGTCTATAGCGAGCTATCAATAGGGTAGGTAGGGCATACTCGGAGGCGTGTGGATAATCACGAAGGCCCGTAGAAAAGAGCTCACTCAGCACATTCTCTTCACCCTACATGACAACCATAGCTAGGAGGATTTGACCCTCGGAAACCGTCTCATCTCTAGCGACCTCCTAACCACTTGGTTGGTTGTTTAGGAGTAGGTTAGGTTAGACTCTTCACCAAACTTTGGATTCGATTAGATAGTAGTTCGGAGCAAAGTAATAATAAGTTTAGGGTTACTTTGGAATACGATCAAGCCACTTTACTACATTCCTATACTCTAAATTCAACTCTTAAATGCTAAATTCAACTCCTAGACCCTAAATTCAACTCCTAAATGCTAAATTCAAATATTAAATTCAACGCCAAAAATTTCAAACGACAGGTACTAAGTCGAAGAATCCGACGGCTGGAATAAGGCCGAGCCGACGGAAAAGGATGGTCGGGGCTAGGTCGAGCCAAAAAATTCTTTCGGGAGAGCCTGGCTCCGACCATACTTTTCTGTTGGGCCGACCTCGTTCTGACCGCCAATTTCTTTCGGCCGACCAGGTTCCTGCCGCCGGAATCTTATTGCTCGTCGTCTATCCCTTGAAAATCGACGAAAAAATTGTTCAAAACTCCAAAAAAATCGACGCACCTACTTATTAATAAATCATGGATGCATGTGCGCAGTTAACGTCGAGGTTCAACTTTTCCGGTGATTTTTCCGCTAAATTCTGAGAATTGGATATTTGTTGTAGGTAGTGACACACCTCTACCGAAGACATATATATAACCATTTTTTTGGAAGCAAATAGTAATTGGGTTGACGGCAAATAACATGCCTCAAAATTTTAATCAAATGTGATACTTTTTATAACTTATTCAACTTAATTATTATTAACTAAAATTCATTATTATTATCTAATATATTCAACATCTCATTAATTTGCATAACACAAATTAAAAGATAAGTTAATCTTACATAATAGTTTAATCAAATGTTGAATCTGCAACTTAATTTTATTATTAGACCACACGTTACGAAAGATTATGTAAAGTCGTTCTATAATACTTATTAAAATACACTATGTAGAACTTACGAGGGTTGAAAAAATTGTTATTTCCTATGTATCATAATAAACCTACCATAATAATTAAGACATTATGTAAAACTTACGATAGTACATTACTTGAACTATCTTGTGAATCATTTTATTTGAACTAAATTATAAAATGAGTATATGAAATGTTATTACCAAAAGAAATAATTAGTTTATTATTGTCGCGAATCGCAGACAAAAAAACTAGTAATCTTAAAAGGAAAATGTTATGTGAATATTTTTCTTATTGAGTTATTGCTTACTGGCTCGACGTCATAGAGTTATATGAACTTTGATCACCTTCTAGTCTATTGTTAACTTTACGATTAACTGAAAATTTGGGAACGCAAATTATGCAAATTCTGATAATATAATTCCTCTAGTGGAATTTCCTTAAAATTGATATATAAAAGACATATACATACATATCCGCCAGAGATATTAACCATACTTTTATTTCTCCAATCATATAACACAAGTCGGTTATTTATAAGAGTTCCGTTCTCTGGCAACCCTTTGAAAGTTGAAACAGCCACCACCACTGATCTAGTGTAGCGATTGAAGAAGGTAAACCAAGTCCACAACACCCTCCGACCCAATGAAATCATCAGCAACAAACTTGGAGCCATTGCTCCACAACCGGCAACCAGTCTCATCATACGACGCCGCCTGATACGCAATGCAATCGCAATCCTTCCAGCACTCGCCATGGCAATCACTCAAACTCTGCAAAAATCCCAACTCACCGCCACCGCCACCGCCAAACGATTCCTCCCCGTTCACCATGTACCCTCTCTTGGCCACAAACGCTTCCTTCCCACTCCGGCACGCACTTGCCTTCTCCGCCAAGCAAACCCCCGCGCTCTCGTTCCCCACCCCCACCGGGCATGGGCTTCCGGCCGTGTCGAAAATCCACGAACTGATGGTCTCCCTCTGGTCCAGTGTGAAGAGCGTGATCTGGCCCAATGTGTCCAGGTCCATCCTCGACAGGGCAGGCCCATCTTTAATTCTATAGGTGAAGTACCTTTCCTCTGGATTCCTGACGAATTTGAATTCATAAATTCCCGAGTCCTTGGTGAAGCCTGTGAGCGAAGTAGCATTCTGAAAGCTCCCTGAAAATGATAAGTAAGAACTTAATCATATTTTTATATTAATAATGATGCCACGCGAGTAGTATTACAATTACTATCAATTGGCTACCGATGATGTTATACCGTTCTGGAAAACTCCGGTAGACCAGTAAATCTCTCCGCGTCGCCGGACGACCAATTGGTCGATTCCGGATGGGTCGAGGCCAACTTTGAAGGCGCCAGGGGAAGGTAATTTGTTGCTGACCCAGGAGGTCAGCTCCCAGGTCTGACCGGTTCTGAAATTCATGCCCAATTTCATTCCAGGGAGAAGCATGTTGTGAGGGTAATCGAAGCTCTGCCACAGGGCAGAACCAAATGGGATTCCTCTGGAATTCTCCCTTCTGACCACCAGGTTGCCGGAATCGAGCAGGGTGAGAGCTACGTCGTTGTTTGAGGTGTTTTTCTGACTGGGGTTTATGATTACGGGGTGTTGTTGATTTCCTCGGTGTGTGAGCTTGAGTTTGCCGTCGTTGGGGTCGATTGACAGGGCGCCGGAGGAATCCGGGATCGGGTCTTCACGGTTGGCTACCCAGACCGAGTAGAAAGGGATGTGGTCGAACCAGATGCCTAGGTAGCGCGGACCGGCCGGGCCGAGATGGACGGTATCTGGGTTGGGATTGAAGAATCCCAACCTAAATACCTTGCTCCGGGAGACCAACTGCTCCCAATCGCGGAGCAGCTGGCCTGATTTGAGCGTGTCCGTCTCGTTAGAGAGGACATGGCTGAAGCTAATGGAGGAAGAAATGATGAAGAACAGGAAGAAGAATGCTGAAGAAGACATGGTAGCTAGAGAGAGCATGTTCTGTGTGTGCTTTTATTTTTAATTTGCAGCTTGTTGGCCTGTGATTTTATAGCCAGAAAGAAAGGAAGATTTGAACATGGTGGGATCATCAGCAAAGCTCGATAGTCAGAGTAGGGTTTCACGTGGAATTGAGTGTTGACTGAATTACTCATCTGTAGCTCTTCGGGGTTACATACACATTTATGAACGCTGACCATGCAATGTAGGAGTGCAAGAATTTTCCTTCTGAAAGTGATTTTATGAGTGTCCTTGTTCACTAAGAGGCTGAGAGCATGTGGCCACTAATTCCTCAGTGTTATTGTGGATAATCACTGTCTCATGACTTGGACTTTCCCCCCTGTAGTGCATGTTTGAGCAACTAACTGTGCTAGTTGCGAATAGAAATTAATTTGCAGAGCAGCAACTTGCATAAACATAAATTTAGGTTAAACTGTCAAAAGTGGCGGGTTCAATTTGGGTGCAATCCCAAAGTGACCCAAAATTTTTGAACACGCATTAATTAGGTTGAACACACATGAATTTCTCTGACAGGTTTGATAAAGCGGCCGATAGAGTTTCTAACAAAATCCACACGCGACCCAATCTGTCGATCACAAAAGCGGGTAAAGTGCGTTCTCAACCCAAATCGATGATTACAAAAGTGGATAGAATTCATTCATTCTCCCAAAAGAGTAGAGGGTAAAACCCTCCTCGACCCAGAATGCGTCAACACTGGATTTAACTCGATAAAATGGGATTTTGTGTTCAACTGTCATAAGAGGCGGGTTGAATTTGGGTTGAATCCCAAAGCTACCAAAATTTGTGAATACACATGAATTTCTATGTCCGATTTGATAAAACGGGCCGAGTTTCTAACAAATTCTCACGCGACCCAATCCGTCAATCACAAAAGAGGGTAAAATGCGTTCTCTCCCCCAAAATTCAAGAACACTGGATTTAACTCGATAAAGCGGAGTGTGTTCTTAACAAAATGCACACCTGAACCTATTCGTTAATTTTAAAAGCAGGTAAAATTCGTTCTAGAACCAAAATTTGGATACATCGACACGGGCTCGAATTAGCTTGAAAACACATGAGTTTGGGTTTAATTGTCATGAGAGGAAACATTTAAAAGATGGGTAAAATTTGTTCCCAACCCAAAATTTGACAACACCAAAACCGGGTCAAATTAGATTGAATACACGTGAATTTGGATTCAAAAAAATAAAGAAAAGTAAACAAAAAAATAATTCTAGTTGATGTGTCTACCAAATGTAACCCAAAAGTTGTTCTTTTAAAGAGTTCCAAGGTTGCGACTAAAAACTAGGGCTGGCTATTTGGACCGGGACCGGATGAAAAACCGGAAACCGGACCGTATAACCCGGACTGAGACCGGACCGGGACCGGATAGTAAACAATCCAATCCAATCTTTGGGCTTAGATTTGAGGTAAAAAAACCGGATAAAGACCGGATAAGAGAGCTCAACACCCAAACTTAAGGGTAATTTGCATAAACGGTCACAAACCTTTGCACTTAGTACAAAACTTAACCAACTCCTCACCCTTTTAGGCCTTATGCCACTCAAATTCCCACAATCTCAATATAAAATCAAGACCGAATTGGGACCGGACCGGGTCAAGACCGGACCGGATCAAGACCGGACTGTATCCAATCCAATCTTTGGTCCTTATATTTTCAAAAAAACCGGACTGGACCGGATCAATTTGGGCCAATTTAACCGGACCGGACCGTATAGCCACCCCTACTAAAAACATCTAACCCCTAAAGTCTTCAAAATCATTTGCAAGCCCGACACAACCAAAAAATCGATAAAAACCCATTTGCATGGCGGAGACAAAAAAAAGTAGTAAGACAACCGTAACCGTGATCGATAAGCGAAGGAAAGACAAAAAAAACTTGCTCGACCCAAAATTTGTAGAAAACGAGTTCAACTCGTTTTAACCATGTTGAATTAGGTCAAATACCCATTATTTGGGTTCAATTAGGATTCAATTGCCATAAGTTAATTAATTATAACCTTAATAGCATAAAATTAATTGATTAGAACCTTAATGGCATAAAACTCCTCCAAACTTTGGTCAATTACAAAATGATCACTTTATGATTTAAGAGTGTAGAACACGTTGTCGATCCAAAATTTGTAAAAATCGAGTTCAACTCGCTTTAACCATGTCGAATTAAGTCGAATACCTATTGATTTGGGATTAGGATTCAATTTTCATAAGTTAATTTATTTGAACCTTAATAACATAAAATTAATTGATTAGAACCTTAATGGCATAAAACTCCTCCAAACTTTGATCAATTACAAAATGATCACTTTGTAATGTGACTCTAAGTAATAGTAACCTTCTTACTTTTTCTTTTAATAGAAGGATAGAAGAATCAATAGATCATTAGAGAAAGAAAAAATTTCAAGGTCCACGACTAAAAACATCCAACCTTTCAAGTCTCCAAAACTAGTTGCAAGCCCGACACAACGAAAAACACCGGTAAAATGACTCTAACTAAGATGATAAGCGAAGGACACCCCCCCCAAAGTTCCAAAAATCATTTGCAAGCCCGACACAACGAAAAAACCGGTAAAATGACTCTAACTAAGACGATAAGCGAAGGACACCCCCCAAAGTTTCAAAAACCATTTGCAAGACGGAGACGAAAAAAAAGTAGTAAAACGACCGTAACCGTGATCGATAAGCGAAAGAAAGACAAAAAAAACTTGCTCGACCCAAAATTCACTTACCGGGCTCAAGCCATTGATTTAAACTGATCGAATGGGTAATAAAATCTTTTTTGTTCTTTTATAGAGATAATTTAAGAATGTTATAGAGATAATTCAATAGTGTAAACCTCGAGTTCAACTCGCTTTAAACTAATCGAATTAGGTTGAATATTTATTGATTTAGGTTCAATCAGGATTCAATTGTCATAAGTTAATTGATAACAACCTTAATAACATAAAATGAATTGATTAGAACCTTAATGACATAAAGTTCCACCAAACTTTGGTTAATTACAAAAAGGTCACTTGTTGGATGTGACTCCAATGAATAGTAAAATCTTGCTTGTTCTTTTATAGAGATAAATAAATAATAATAACCAGGGAAGTCAGAGAATCTAAACAAATATATAATATGAAAGTTTTCTTCCAACACCCTCCTCACTCTCTTTTTTCTTTTTCCTGTGCAGAAAACAAAAGGCCTTTTTGGTCTTTATAATAGGTGATTGTTCACATACCTTTGCAAATTCAATCTCATATCATGGATTATTGTGAAAGAAAGCAAATCCGGGAAAATGTTCATAAATTATATGAGGTAAATTCTACCTTTGTTCCATGAATTGAAGGAGAATAAAGAAAAGACTAACGGAATACAAGAGAACAAGGAAGAGACAATGGATAATTAATATAGAGGTGTTATTATTGGATATGAAGGCGTTGTTGTTATTGATGGAGATGATGATCCTACTCACGGTAGAGGAAATAAAAAAAAGGCAAAAATAAAATTTGCAATAATTTATATGAAAAAGGAGTAAATGAAATTGTCATTTGATTATACCATTTACGAAATGCATCCAGCCGGCTCGCCCAAATCTAATTATAAAGGTAAACCTCACAAGTTTCCGAGACGAATACATTCACATGCAAATATATAGTTGGATGATACATTCATCTAAATTATTGTGAATGATATTTCTCATACGAGAATAGTTGGTTTGTATATGAAGACATATTTAAATACTACCTATTTCCATTATATTAATCCATCGAGGCCACAAACACTGAGCGAACCGTGAACCGGGGGTTGGTCCACTCGATCCAACCGCTTACAACCTTCTTCCCAGCATTACTCCTCACAAACGTTACGCTGAACTCCTTGGTCTCTCCGACCTCGGCAAAGCTCAGCTCTGTGGGGACCACCTTGACGACAACACCTTCCTCTGTGTCGACCCCGACAACGGACGCCTTGTACACCCAGCAGGTCCCTTCTCCAGTAGTAGCCGCAATGTTGGTCAACCGGCGGGTCACGGTTCTACTGGTTCGGCTCACTCGGACCGAAATGGAAGGGTAATTCAGTGAAGATATTCGGTCCAGATTTGCACCGCCGGGTGGGCAGGAGAAGCTGGGCGAGGCGGTCGTTGAAAGGGCCTTGACTGTGCTGGTGCTATAGCCGCGGTAGCATAGGAAGTGGCGGATGTCTTCCATTGTGGTCTCGTAGATGAGACCCGGGTCGACCGCTCCAGCCGGGTGGACCATTCCGGCTCCCATTTCATACGGGCTGGCCAACTCTCCATTATATGTCCTGATCGGGCCTCCCGCATTGTTGGTGGACACGGCTGATCAATATTACACAAACAACGTAACGAAAGGAAAAAGGAATGCTTGATTAAGACTAGCTAGGCTCGAACCTGAATTGAAACGGAACAAATTAATTAATTGGTTTAGAGATAATTGTAAATCACCGGTGGTCATCATGGCCGATTTCACGCCGGAGGGGCTGAGAGATGGCATCCCGGACCTTATGTTTGCCGCCACGCCGGAGATGTGAGGGCAAGCCATGGACGTGCCGGAATCTATCGTGTAGCCTCTATCGCTGGCCTCGGTGAATCTTTCGTCGCTCGACCACGCGGCGAGAATGTCCACCCCCGGTGCCGTTATGTCGGGCTACAATATGTAAATACAAATGAGCCAATATTGTTTTTTTTTTTAAAAACAGCGTGACAAATAAATAAAAAATGGTAGGAAGAAGAAAGGAAGTTAACTTGCCTTGACGATGTTTACCGAGCTCGCTGACGGTCCCGGGGATGAGAAAAAAGCCACTTCAGGAGCTGGCTTGTAGTTGCCAATTTGAACGGTTGGAAGAATTTTAGCTATTGGTTTCCTGAATTATTGATTTAATTAATTATTTTCAGTTACTAAGATAATTAATTGAGTAATAAGAAAAATTAATTCTTAATTTAATTAGGCCTGTTTTTTTTTTATGAATAATTTGGCCGTCTTCCCCCCTTCCTTACTTGGTAGATTTCAAGTAGTCCTTTAGCTTCAAACTTTCTTTTGTGCTGATCACAGTTGTAGCGATATCGAAGCCCCCATAGTAGTTTGCCACTCTCTTCAAGAAGTCGTTCTCTATAATGATTCCCAAGCCGCCATTATTTATTACCTCGTATACTTGTAGGTCCAAGGCGGTCTTTTTATCCCTGGTCTCACAAAACACAACTTTCCCTTCAACTCTGGACATACTGAGCGAACCCGTCTGACAATCCCTGTAATCGATTAATTAATACTAAATTAGTTGGGTATTATATGGTAATTAAAAGCAAGAGACTAAATTAAATTAAGTAAATAAAGACCCACCTGGCTGCGTGATTGGTTGCCTTCCTTTCCTTGGCTGCCTCACCGGAGGTCAGTGGGTGAATGGCCGACCCATTCAGCCTGTGAAACACGATCCCTTCGCCCTGTGTACATTTTTTTTTTTTTTTTTATCCAAGATAAGCCCCCAGGGCATGGTCGGACAACAAATATATAAGAAAGATAACAATAAAGAACGGTAGTCCGTATGCAACCGGACTCCCGATAAAAGAGCCTTTTTTGCCACTAGGTGGGCAGCTCTGTGAAAGCTCTGAAGAGCAAAAAGACACGAAACTGACTCAGAAAGAGAGAAGAGCACTTCCCCAAAAATGCACCGTCTGAGAGTGATAAGCATTGTGATTGAGTTCGAATCCGAAAGCAAAGGAAAGATTCCCTGCAAAAATACAAGCAAACTAGCCCATATATGAATATACAAAATTCTATCACAAGATATAGAAACAAAGGCATGATCTGGTACCGAAAACAACAACAAAAAATGTTGTAGATGAATATATAAGACGATCAAACTGACCGAATACAACAACCAAGAATAATAGACCATCAAACTTACCGAGGTAGCAAAAGTCTCCCATCTCAATTGTTGATAGGCAAAATAAACGACCAAAATATTTACAACAGGCTAACAAAAGCTCAAATCTAAAAGCAGGAAAGTACAAACAGACACTATTAAAACACACAACACATAGTAAAAATCCCAACCCGAAAAACCTTACCCAAAGAAACTAACCCGATACTAGTAATTAAAAAAACCTTAAATGGAAGAAACAATAAATGACTAACTGAAAGGTACTTAATCTCATAAAAATCAAATACGAAGACATGCCTATGCCAAAGGTTACACTCCTTTAAAAAAGTAATTAAAAATTCAAATTAAAGAATACAAATTGATTAGAGGGGAAACTTTTAACGTTAAAATGGAAGTAAAGAGAGCAGTATTGCCTCTTAAAGTCTTAATGCAACAAAAGCGGTAAGTTTTATACGTCCAGATTGAATACAAAGGATATTCAATTACAACAAATAGCAATTAACAACGGAGAGGGTTATTAATGCAATTTGACAATAAGGCTCAATTTTTTGGAAAAAACAATAAGGCTCAATTTTGAACGGTAAGAGGAATTAAGGGAAGAATAATTAATTATCCGCTCAAAAATAGGGGAAGCGGAATTTAATTACCCGTTCCAAAATAGGGAAAGCGGAATTTTAAACGTAAATTCCGTACTAAATTGACCTTAATTATGCTTGACAGGAATTCAAACTCGCCGGAGTTTTGACCGGAAAAAGTGATCACCGATGGCCGGGAACATGCCTAGGGAGATCAACGGTGATAAAATGAACTGACTCTGGAATTCGACAGAGCATTTCAACTCTGTGTAGTATAAACATCAAATGATGTATAAAATTAACCATGGATTCATCTCAAGGAGAACACATGTTAATCACGACAACAAAAGTTGTATTTAGGAAACAGAGTAACAGAGCTCTGTATAGTATAGGGACATGTTCTAATTCCCGCGGTGACGATGATGATGAAGGAGAAGGTCGTGGAGACGGAGATCGACGTGATTCTGATGTCCCTGAGCGCGAGGTGGACGTTGCAGATGGCGAGAAGCAGGAACGGGAGCTGGGAGGCTGCGACAGCGTCCTCGCCGACGGAGGTAAAACTTGGGATCCCCTTTATGCGTTCCATCCCGCTTGATCACGTAGTAACGATTCGCAGAGAGGGGTCGGCCGAGGACGGGGACGAAGACGGCGCGGTGGGTCTCAACGCGGCGGTGCTCTCCGGATCGCTTGAGTGGGCTAGTGTTGGATGAATCACATAACCTCAAAATCCCCGATTGAGACTGATTGATTTTGCAGAGAGGGGATGAGAGAGAGAGAGAGGACCTGAGTAAGCTGTTTACGTTTCAATTTCGTGCATTCAGAGTAAAGTATGAAGGACATAGTCCTCGCCCTGTGTACATTTATTAACAAACAAATAATAATAATAAAAAAGAACTTTAGTACGTAGTTAATTAACAACCGATAGTAAATTAAAAGAGGATATTAATTAATCATAAACAATCTACGTACGTTACGTACCTTGATGATTGTGCCGCTACCCAACAGGACATTGGCGCGGAAATCTCTGTCTATTGTTGCGGCCGCCACCGTTATAGTCCAGGGCGCGTCGTTAAGCACGGTCCCCGGGAGCGGGCCACGGTTTCCGGCGGCGCAAACTACAGTAATCCCTCTTTCCACGGCGTGGAAGGCCCCCAGCATCACAGGGTCGTTGAGTAAGTAGTCGAGGGGATCGATAGGGCCGTCCGTCTCGTCGGGGCCGATGGAAGCGGATATGACCCTGACGCCGTCGGAGATGGCGTCGTCGAAAGCCTTCAGTATGGCCGATGACTTACACCCTTCGAGGCCGCAGGCCTTGTACACCGCAATTCTTGAGGACTCTGAACCCCCTCGGGCCGTCCCGGCCGCGAAGCCATGGTACGAGGCTTTGACCGCCATTCCAGCGGCGGTTGAAGCGACATGTGAACCATGGCCATGGATATCTCTTGCGCTACTCCCATTCACGTAGGATCGTGCTCCCACAATTTTCCTAATTACCGGGGAAAAAATTATAATAAACAACTTGATTTGCATTTTTTCGCAAAGCAAAGCGCCATTACGTACGTTTTATCAATAATTAATAGAACCAACCCCCAACAAAATTTGTTAATTCATGAATTAGAAGAATGATTTTTTTTTAACGTATATATTAATTATTCTTTGTTTTTTATTTCCTTACCCGTTGCATGCGCTGCTGTTGAAATCTTTGGCCGTTTCACATATTCCCTTCCAATCCGCCGGCGGGGCTCTGCTCACCTTGCCAACCCGAAAACTCGGGGACTCCGGCCAGATGCCGGTGTCGATGAAGCCAATCACTACCTCCGAGGAGGCAGGGACGACAACGTCCTCAAAGCCAGCGAATGGTGCTGCTGGTTCCCCGAGGAAGTCCCAAGACCGTGTCGTCAAAGGCTTCAAGTATGAATCTTTGAAAACAGACAAGACGCCTGGTTGCTGGGAGATGAACATGGCCTCCGACGACGACATCCGTGCGGCGAAGCCGGCCAGCCCGTGTTGGTACGTAGTAACCATGTCAAAAAGATTTTTCCTTACCATTGAAAATTGATTTAAGGGGAAGGAAGAAAAAATCAGTAATCAAGTACCAAATTAAATTAAAGCCTCCAATTCATCAAATGAATAAAATAATTGGAGCTATAATAAGTATCACTACTAACCAACCTGACAAGGACCCTGTTGATTAACGATTCCTTTACGGCCAAATTTGCGGGGTTGGCACCGCCGGTGTACACAATGTACACGTCTTGTTCGGAGGTGGAGTCGTCCTCGGGTGCTACCATTGGAAGCAGCATGCTAACAAGGAACATCATGGAGAACACGGCGGCGGTCTTCATCTTTTGATGATCTGTTTGTTTTTCTCACAGACTAATTTCCTTGAGGAAACAAGTTCCGCGCTACCTACCTGTGTGGATGAATGTGGGAGGCTGATGGATTTCAACTAAGCCAAGTCCCAAGTCCGGTTATATATACATGTCATGTCACTACCAGCTGAGGAAGAGTACGAGGTAGCGTAACTGATTAAAACATGTACACGTGGGTAGTTAGTTTGTTGTCGTCTTGGCTTTAGTTTGGAGGGTCATGCAGGATGCGTGTTGTTGCATGTATATACCAACAGAGCCAAGGCAAGGCAGATCCAGAGGGATGATGCATAATCGATGAGATGCAATATTTGGTTGTTATGGTTCATTGTGAAATGAATATTGCATATCGTAATTAACTTGATTAGCGTCACACCTTACGTCCTTGAGTGTCATGCAAGTTATGTGTAGCATGTGTATTCATCAGATCCGTTCACACTTCTATTGTAGATAGAGCAACTTGATTAATGTTTTTTGTTCAATGAACCAAAGACAATGAACTCATTATATCAGCCATCAAATTCAGGCCTCCGTCAACACCTTCTAACCTCCTATCCATGCTTTCAACAATTTCTTTTTTTTTTTTTCTTTTAGAAAAGATCATCTTGTATTAGTAAAAATGAGATCGAACACATTACACGACCATGACATACAACCAGGACATAAAATTAAAATTAAAAGAACGACACATAATCGGGTACAAAGAAATGATGTTTTTTTTTCCGTTGAATCAGTTGCCCTCATCTTATTAATCAGAAACTAGCAAGATGCTAGGAGAACCAAATACAACGAAATGGGTATATCAAGGATACCCAAAAAGTCTCAAAATTCTCAACTAACCACTACTGCTGGATACAACTACTATTACTAACAGAAACCACCAGCAAATGAACTCAATTAGAACTCAGAAAAACACATCACGAGATACCAACACACGCCAGGTCTTCAAGTATGCATCTAGCTGCTCCAATGACCAACATATCACTCTTGATCAGCTCCTGCAGTCCAGCAACTGAATGAGAAGGGCCACCATGTTTCTGCATGCATTTTTCCTTCCAGATGGAAGCCACCAGGAAGCACCAAACCATCCCTGCAACATAACCATTCCTCTGCTTGCAGAAATCACAAGCAGCAGCATCAGTAGCAGGCCATGATGTTCTATAAAAATTAAGAGAATATAATCCCTGCATCACCTCTCTTGCATACGAGCATTGGAAAAACAAATGCTCCCTAGATTCCTGTCCCTGCTTACACAAGACACAAACATCATCCACAACCTTTCCCCATTTCAGCAGTTTATCAGAGGTGACAATTCCATCCAGGAGAATCGTCCATGCGAGAAAACTGTTTCTGGGAATGAAACCATGCCCCCATACAAGCTTATGCCACTCCCAACAGACCATTTAGGTCTAATTGCCTCCCAAACAATACTTAAACGGAACCTAGGCATAGGGATCTGATTCCAAAGGACTGTTTCCCCCTGCATAGAGAATTGTTGTTGCAGCACACTCCGAGTCTTCAGAATCCTTCGCCAGGCCCAGGAGCCACTCGAACCAGGCCTTATTGTCCAGATGCAACCATGCTTGATCCTGTAGGTCCCGATCCAGGCCACCCAAATAGTCCCACTTTGCATTAGGAGCAGCCACAACATACGATCAGTGCAGGCTTGGTTCCAGGAATAGAGTTCCTTTAAACCTAAGCCTCCCTCTTTCTTGGATCTAGCCATTCTGTCCCATCCAATCTTGGCTCTTCCCTCCTCATCACCATGCCACAAGAAATTTGAGCAGATTCTTTGTACCTGCTTCAGCACCTTCTTTGGGAGCAAGAAAACTTGCATCTAGTACTGTAAAACCCCCATTAATACAGAAGTGACCAATTAGAGACGGCCAGCATAACTAAGCCGCTTGGCCCTCCAAGACTTTATTTTTTGAGTGATTTTTGCTACTAACTTCTCACATTCCAAAGCAAAAAGTTTGCCTGATATCAATGGGAGACCCAAGTATCTCACTGGAAGCTCCCCCTACTGAAAACCAGTCACTTGGAGTGCCCTTCTCTTAAACATCACAGACATACCCCCAAAATAAACCTCATATTTGGTGGGATTGCACTTCAAACCAGACAAAGAATAGAAGTCAGAAAGCATCTCCTGCACCTTAGATATGGCAGTCCCTGACCCCTCTGTAAAAATCAAAAGATCATCAGCAAAACTCATATGAGTAAGCTTCACTTTTTTACACTGTGGATGGTATGGCAACCGCCCAATAGCAGCAGATTCATTTAATAATAACGAGAGTCCTTCCATAGCAATGGTGAAAAGGTAGGGTGAAAGAGGATCACCCTGCCTAATCCCCTTTTGTGCACCAAAATAGCCACACAGACCACCATTGATACTAATGCTAAATCTTGCTGTTTTGACTGTCAACTTATTCCAATTTATAAAACAAGCTGGAAAACCCACCTCCATCGTCATAAACAGATAAGTCCAATTAACTGAATCAAAAGTCTTCATAAGATCCACTTTGATAGCACAGCGAGAGGATATATGTTTTCTGTGATAACCACTAACAAGCTCCTGTGCCATTAAAATGTTGTCTACTATTCTCCTCCCTTCAATAAATGCTGACTGGTTACCACTAATTAGCTTAGGAAGTACTTTCTTTAGACGGTTAGCCAACACCTTAGCAATAAACTTATACAAGATATTTATGCAAGAAATTGGCCTATAATCTTTGAGAGCACATACTGAAGGTATTTTAGGTAGCAGAGAAACAGCAGTGGCATTAACACTACCTGGTAATCGCCCAGAGGAGAAGAAATCCATCACTCCCGCAAGGACATCAGCACGAATGATTGGCCACGCCTTTCTGTAAAAACCTGCTGAAAATCCATCAGGGCCAAGTGTCTTGTGTGGGTTCATGTGAAGCACAATAGCCTGAATTTCATCCTCGGTGATAGGATTAGTAAGAAATAAGAACTCCTGAGCACCTAGTCTATTTTTTACCAGCAACTCTAGTCGACCTCGATCAGGATGAACACAAGGATCACTGACTCTGAATAAATTCTTATAGAAAGAGACAGCCTCCTCTGCAATTTTACCAATATCTGTGATTTGAATCCCATTTGTAGTGACAAGCTTACAAATTGCCCTCTTTGCTGTATGTATCTTAACTGCTTGATGGAAATACCTTGTGCTTTTGTCCCCCCAGCTCCAACACATTAATCCTCGACTTCTGCTTATATAGACACTACTCAGCCTTCCTGAACTCTTCCAATTGAACCTGCAGTTCTGATATTAGAATGAAATACTCCTCAGATGGAGACTCAAATGCAATAGTTTTTGCAGAAGTTAGTGCCCTTTCTGTTTCCTTCACCCTTGCACTAATATCCCCAAACTTCTCTTTATTCAGCTGTTGCAGAGCTTTCTTGACAACAATGAATTTCACCTTAACCCTTTTTAGGGGATGATCATTAATCTGTGTATCCCAAGCTTTGCTAACAAGAGGTAGAAATTCAGGGCTATCCGCCCAAAAATCAAAATACTTAAAAGGTTTGGGAAGAGATTTCTGAGTTGGTTTTGATGCCACCAAAATCCCACAATGATCTGAAAAATGTACAGCTATAACATCAATCCGACAATCTGGGAAGAGATCAAACCACTTTTTATTCACCAGTGCACGATCCAATTTTTTGGCAAGAGGGCTTCTAACTTGATTGTTAGTCCACGTAAATTGAGGGCCTACCACCCTGTGATCCACCAGTTCCATTGAATCTACCCAGTTGCCAAAATCTCCCATACAACTAGTAGAATCACTTCTTTTGGAGACTTCCTCGGGCTTTAATACTGCATTAAAATCCCCACAACTATCCATGGATGACTGCAAACCTTGACCTTAGCCAGCTCAGAGTATGTGACTCTCCTTTCCAATTCGTCATTAGAACCATAAACAGCAGTGAGAAAACAACTCTCACCCTCCACCGACTTCACCAAACAATGAACAAAATTCTTACTAGGTACCAAAATACTCAATTCTACACTATCGGGATTCCAGAACAGCCAAATACGTCCCAACTCACTATCAACATAGTTCAAGTGCCTCTTCCAGCCAGGACAGAATTCTTCAGACACCTCAACTGCTTTATTTATCTTTACTCTGGTTTCTATTACTGCAACTACATCTACTTTATTCTGCTTAAGGACTGAATACAAGTCTCTACGCTTAGAGGGTTTGTTAAACCCTCTTACATTCTGGAATAGGATAATCGTTTGGAAACAGAGGGCGGGGGCCCGCCCTTCTTTCCACCTTTTCTGGGCGTTGCTTGCAAAGTAACCACTGCACCTTCATCCAAAGATCTCAACAAGCTGAAACTCAGCCTCAGAGGGTAGGTTGTGGCGACCAAATACGTGGTTTGGCTCCATTAACCACAAGCTGAAACTCAGCCTCAGAGGGTAACACTGGAGAAGCACACTCAACCGCAGCAAAACTTTTCTCAAGATTAATCCCCTGCAAATTTGAGTTAGCCTCAAATGAAGTAGTATGACCCCCAGTCGAACTCTCACATAAACCCACCACATTGGTCCCAATCATAAAGCCCACCGATTCCTGAGTGATCTCAGGGGCAGCTAGGGGGGAAGATTCGACTTCTTTACCTATATTCAATCCTTTACCAACACGATCCATCTGCATAGCAACCTGATTCACCTGCACATCACCGCTATTCTGCCCAGTTTCCGTTTCCTTTCGAACCCAGACCTGTTTATGGCAATCACAAATGCCAAATAGCCCACAAGGTTTGCACACAGGTGGAACATGAGCATAAGTCACACCCACTCTGATGGAAGTTTCATTATCAAGCCAGATAAGCACATGATCTAGAAAATCTCCATCAGCCAGCAGCTCAACCAAAATCTTAGCATACCCTAATCGCCCCCCCCCCCCCCCCCCCCCCCCGTTCGAGTAGTCTGATCAACCCCCAGTGGTACACCTAGCCAGCTAGCAGCCCTACTAAGCCCCTGATAGTTGACATATTCAAGAGGAAGATTAGAGAATCGTACCCAGATTGGAAGAGCCTTGCGTCCCAGATCCTCTACATCAATCCCTGGTGCCCAAGGACGCAGATAGAGAAGGTTATCAAGATAAAACCACGGATTGCTTTCCAATATCCAGTCACACGTTGCCTGCGATGGGAGCTGTATTAACAGCAGACGTTCGCCCAGTAGAGAGACACGAACTAGCCCGTGGCGACCCCAGATTCTGTTTGCCCACCGACGAAGAACCGGGAGCTCTGGCATCTAATGCAGAAATTTTCCCACTAGGCTGTGCTTCCATCGAAGCGAGCCTTCCTCTCGGATGATCTGAGGCATCCTGTGACCCCCCTTTGTAAATCTCTAGCTTGATATAGGTAAGCCTATTGGCCTCTGAGATACCAAACAAGTTCGCCCAAGGCTTCGTAGGAACCCCCTGAGACGGAACAGTTGCCGGTACACCCGAGCTAGCCATCAGAAAAGATTCAGAAGAAGAAACGGAGAAGAATTATGGTCGGCACTGCGGGGCCGAACCCTAGCTGGAAGACGACCCTCGCCAAAGATTGGGAGAATTTTCTCTCACTGGAAATTTTTTCTCACTAACTTGGCTCTAAATTTTTGAAATGATGTTTTTAGTATTGGGCTTAGTGATGCCAAATAGCAATTAGTGGGCTTCCCTTTGTATTATTGGACTTTTAATTTCTATTTGTTGGGTTTAGTTGTTGGGTTGTTAAAATTTTTATATATTTGGCAAATATATAGAGTGCAATATTCAAAATTCATTGGACTTGGGGTTTTTTTTGTTTGACAAATATGTTGTGAAATGATTTTCTACTTAAATAGATGTCCAATTTTTGCTTTTATGTGGTATCTCGCAAAATTAGTAATGAATTTGTTCACTAGTGATGGGTTGAATAATGCAAGGGGGCCAGTCACTATAGGAAGAACGGCCTTTTGAAAAATGTTACATACTACTTTATGCAACACCACCTATAAAATACATTACTAAAAGTGTTGCATATTGCGTATGCAAAACTTTTGGCACTTCATGCAACAAATATACTGTGTTGCCAAAGTCATTTTCTGTAGTGAGTCTTGTGTGATGTGAACTTTAAAGTAATTAGGAAAATGGATTAAACATGGATTACAAGATAAACTGTGATTTTATTTTCCTTTGGGTATAGGGTATTAATAGTAAAAGACCCTTCTTCATTTCTTCAGTTCTATTCGTGGACTAGGAGAGTAAAGTACCCTTCTCATATTGAAGAAGGCGTAGGCAGTGTTCAAACCTTTCAAGTGGTGTGAAGCCTTCAATCTCTTCTCACGAATCCAAGAAAGTTTGGATTAGTGTAAGTTCTTCAATAGAGCATTCTTCCTCCATTCCTTCCTATGGGTTGTATCACCTCATATGTTTCTTCCGAATTTGTATAAGATCATCATCTTCATCATCAAATTTCTTGGTCTCCAAATGATCTTCTTCTTTAGGCTCCTTGATAGGCTGACCATCCTTCTCTTCTTCGGTAGGTTGAAGATGCTCGATATTGGCCTCCATGGTTGGTGTGATGTTTTCATCGTGTTGTGAGTGGCTTCCATCATCTAGAGGGGGTCTCTTGCCTTCTTGTTCCAAAGATTGAGTTATAAACTCATCTTCTTCTCCATTGACCTCATGACGATCCTCCTCTCTATGGTACATCTTTCAATCTTTTTCCTCGTCTAATGGATGCTATTAAGAGTATCATCCTCTTCTCCATGGTCCATGAATTCTTCATGCTCCATAATCAATTCATGCTCCTTGATCTTCATGCATCTCATTGGAACTTTCTTTATTGGCTTCAGAATGCTCTTTGATGATTTGAACATCTTCTGGCAGTTGCTTTTGGCTTTTCATCAATGGTCCTAGCATCAATGCTCCTAGGAGGCTCCAGATTGATCTTTGATTGGCTCTTCTCCATAGCGGATTCATACCCCAGGCTCCATCTCTTGAGGATTGCTTCAAGGGCGAATAGCAATTTAAGCCCCTATGTTATTATAAGTTAACAAAAGTGCCTCTCTACTATTTCTTTCCACTATTATGCTCTTAGCTATCAAAGTGTACCAAATGTGCCCTTTTGTTACCATTTTCGTCAAATATATGTTAGTCAAGTCAGGAATGACTATACTATCCCTCTACATCACTTTATATACATTTTTTTTTAGAAAAACCTATTAAATTTATTTTATTTTCTGGTCCTTAATTGTCAAGTTTCATTTGTTTATGAGCGCGTTAGCACTTTACCATTCCTTGTGATTGCTGTAAAGGGATTGGTAAACATATATATTGGCGGCTGCTCTGCTTGGTCCAGGATGAGTGTGAGAAACAAAACAAAACCCTAATAAATTCTAGATGAAGAATCCTTGAGAGTGTGTTTTATGGATTAGTCTCATTCTTGTGAATGAGGATACCACGTAAATCGTTGTGTCTTGTATGTTTTGCTTCTCGGGGTTTTCAATAGTATCAGAGCTGTGAATCGATCTTTATGGCGTTTTAGTTGAGCATCATGAGTTTTGAAGATGAGAAGATGAAGTCGGCTAAAACAGAAACACCAACGAAGGATGCCATAGGGGGAAGCGGAGATGGTTTTCCTCCGAATTTTATCCTCCCTAATTCGGATAGCCCTAATCAACTATTCATTGGCAAACTGCTCATCGACGTCAACTATGGTGAAGTCTCTATCTCCAACCCTTCGAAAGTGATTTGTTTGATCAATGGTAGCGATGTGATGCAATGGTGAAGGGCTAGTTGAAAACAACCATGAGCAAGGAGATATGTACCAGTTTTCGCTTTGCTCGAACGGCTTGAGAGATATGGCTAGATCTCAAAGCTTGTTTTGGCCAAGGGCGTGCGCTCAGACTCTATGAGTTGTGCGCACCATCAGTATGGTTGCAAGATGAGAAATCCAATGTTTCTAGCTTTTATACGAAGCTACATGGTCTTTGGATGAAATCTAGTCGATTTTGCCTACTCTTGAATGTCAGTGTGGTGGTTGTAATTGTGATGTCAAAATAGCGTGAAACCAAGAACAGTGAGAATTTGTTTGATTTTCTAGATCCGGGAGGACATGAGAAGTTCGAAGACTGTGCAACTTTGGATGTGGACCGTATGGTGCTCATGTGGTACCCATAGTAACACATGAAGAGTAGGTAGTGTGTCATCTCCGTCTCTTACATAAGCCCTGAGTTAAGCGATCCCCTTGGATAGGGAAGGAGAGAGATCACAAGTGATTTCCAAACCTACCTCCGACCCAACTTTAATCGTCAGCTCAAAAAAAAAAAAAGATGAAGTGTATAGTATTCGGGTTGGCTGACACTATGTTCACTCTTAAAAGGGTTGTCATGCTATCCTACGCACTCGACATAGTTCAAGCTTTGGTATAGAAGTAAACAGTAATTTCTTGTCATAAACCAGTGGGTCCCCAATAACTCGAGTTATTGGGAGAAGGTTATTATGGACCTTATATCACTCTCTAACATGTCCCATCAAATCAAAGCTAACCCACGAGCTTGAAGTTTGCACAGGCGATCACCATACATTGTGCTTTAATCAACTATTAATAGTGGGGATTTGGAGATTCGAACACACGATCACTTGGTCAAACCAGCTCTGATACCATGTCATAAACCAGTTGGTCTCAATAACTCGAGCTATTGGGAGAAGATTATTATGAATCTTATATCACTCACTAACATTCTTTACCTACCAGAACAGTGAATAGTAGGGATGACAATTTTGCCCATACCCATGGGTTTTTTACTATCCAACCCAATTGGGTTGGGTATGAAATCCAAATAGATGGATATGGGTAGACTTTGATGGGTTTGTACCCATACCCATTTACTTGGGTTAGGTTGGGTTTATAACAAATGGATTTGGGTTTGCATCCATGCCCAAATGCAAATTACAGTTTGGTACCTAAACTTAATAGATGTGCATATTTAGTACATAAATTTAATTTTTTTGCATATAAGTCTTCAAAATATTGATGGAAATTTACATTTTGGTACATAAATATTTTTGGTTTTACATTTTTGTACCTAAACTTTTCAAGTTTTACAAATAGGTCCAATTTTTGCATGTGTAGTTAAAACACCCTCAAATAAATGGATATCCATATCCAACCCATACCCATTTAGATTAAGGAAGCAATAGCCATACCTTACCCAAACCCATTTACAAACCCCCAAACCCATATGCACTTCACCCATACCCAACCCATTGTGAATAGATCTACTTGGTTTTGAGTATAATTACTCATGGGTGGGTAATTGCCATCCCTAGTAAATAGCTACCTTCTATGGCAACTTGATCGCACTGCCACAAACACAGAACCAGTACATCAAGTTTTTCAGAAATTTTTGAAAGTAAAGATACTACAAAAGAAAACATTCAAAACTAAAACAATACACATAAATTCTGACATCATCATGACTATATGAAAAACTATAAAAAGGAATAATAGATCTAGATCCTTGAAATTACAAATCTCATCATCTTTAATGATCAACTAAATGAAGTTTTATTTATTTATTCGCAAGAAATTATTCTGTCACTTAATTTAATTTTGGATTGCTCGAGGTGGGAGCTTATAGCATATTTCATAGCATGCACAATATAATTGCTCACACCGTCCTTTGATAAATAATCCCAATTTTCCAAACATTTTGTTGCATGCGCTATCACATTCTTTATCCTTGCAAACACCGCCTCGAAGATCCAAAAACACTGCTGGGAAAGAAGTGAATTTGCAAAGACCTGAATTTGGGCCCCAATAATCACGATCTGATGTGACCTCGTTCCCTGTTTTTCATTACAAACATGAATCACATACGAAATCAAATTAATGTAAGTAATTAATAAAAGATGAGACATTGGTACTAAATACATAAAAATAAAATGGTTGGATATAAAAATATAGATAATCACCACTAATGAGACAAATAAATAGAAGAATTAAGAAAATTTTTGCTGACGACGATGATGAACGTTTCATCATTGTTGATTTCTTGGTTACGTTTTTCGAGGATGATTTTTTCTGAGAAGTAGGGTGATATATTAAGTACAACGCTTACTCAAGGCGTACACACACATATATATATATGCAGATTCGATAACATGCTTTCTTTATTTAGTAAATCCTAACTTCTCCATAATTATAGGCGAGAAATTATCTTTTCTAAATCCGAATTGCATCTGTATAACAATTTTAATCCATAAATCTCGGTTCATTTAGCTGTAGTCATTTGATTGACTACTTTTCAAGTATTTTGATTACTTTTACCTTCTTTAATTAATTTTTTTTCAATTACTTATCGAAAAACATCCATTGAAGAATTTCTGTCAGGGATTAATTTGATGTTCTCTAACAATATTCTCTGCATTAGCACTAGATTGGGGCATGGAACGAGCTTTGAGAACAACTTTCTCAAGGTGATTCTTTCATTTTAGCGATATCCAAGAACCCGTGTTTGCTCTAAAGTAAGGTACCCTTAGCTTCTCACGGTATTTTTCTAAACATCGTGCTTTGTTGGATCAGTTATGCTCTTAGATCCATGTCACTTCCACATATAATAAGAAGTTTGCAATGATGATCCAACATGAAAGAAAATATGGCATGTTATTCGAATCCTATGGTATCCAATATCCCAACCCTAACTCAATTGTTGATGGCATTACATGCTTTACTAAGGTTGTTAATTGGCACACATTTTGGATTCAAGGTATTAGGTAATGCTTTCAAGAGGCAAGTAAAAGAAGCATGTGTGTACTTGTGTTGTTATATTGGCCATAAGAAGATGTTTGTTGAAATAAGAATGACTACCTTCCTAGTTATCTGCTTGAGAAGAAAGTTTGGACTCGTCAAATAAATAGTGTGACTGTTGAGCAAGGAAACCTCTACAATACTTCGATTATGTTCAGTTACGCTGATTGGGCCTATTGCCAACAACAATACTAGAAAGTTCTCCAAGTTATGCAGCACCAATCTACTACTCAATTGATTGTTTATGGTAAACCAAATTACCTTACTCACATTTGAAAATAGCCAAACCCATACCCATCTAATATGTATGACAGTATGAGGAGAGGTTTTGTAACCCCATAACCGAGGTTTTCCGCTACCAATGGGTAATACTTTTTATCTTCAACCGAAATACTGGTCGGCACGGTATCTGAAGGCCGACTAACAAACTGTGCTGGATCAGGTCAGATTTTTGGTATTTCTAGTTCGACTGGCCGACCTAGTAGGATTTAGTAGTACATGATTCTTTTAAGATTTTAGATGCTGAATTGAATGAATTTACAACTTATTTTTATCATTTATGTACAATTGAATTTTGATTTATATAATTGCAAACTATATATGTATGAAAAGAAGTTAACCGTTATAATAATTATTTTACACTAATAATTATGTTTTTTTGTTTTTAGGTGATAACTCTCACATTTTGTGGGTGTGTCGGTTCCGGTTGGATAAGTTTTTGGGTTGATATTTTCATCCCTAACAATCCGTACCTCCTTTGGAACTGCTCCATTTGTTGGACTATAGTGTATACTATGATTAGTTTAAGGACAAAATGTACTATTTTTATATATTTGAGTGTCATCATGTTATTCATTTATTCAGAACACATATAAATGTAATATTGTACCGTGCAAATTTATTTTTGGTGAAATACTAATTCAATTTGTTTTTCCTCTCTCGTCATGGTAATATACCAAGATCAGGACTGCCTTTGATGTGAATATAATGAAATACCACATAGTTGCCTGTTATAAGTATCATTTTGGATTTGGGAACTCAAAAACTAAGTCAACTGATGCATAACAAATGCAATATCAGGTCGAGCATTGGATAAGCAAACGACCTACTAATCTACAATAGACAGATGAACTTTCTTCTCATGAGGATGACGGTTACTTGTTTTGACTAGACCACATTGTTAAGACTTAAGAGAACCTTTGACCCCCGTCGATCCACAAACTCCCCAATGGTTTGAATAAGCTCATTTGATTGGAGATTTGAATCGGTATATATCCCAGAAATTTGAATCCAAAGCACGTCTTGTTGTAGAAACACGTCCGATATCCCTACTATCCAATGACTCGATCGATAAAAACATCCAGCAGGCACGGTCGAGCATGTTCCCGATCCAAGTCTCACCTAAGCGAAAGCAGGAGGGGGGAAGCGGTGGAAGCGGGAGTAACAATGTTGATTCTGTTTCAAAGACAATCCCATTCTCGTTTGTCTACCTCGTCGTCGTCGCGCTCCATTGATGTTGATTCTGCAGCGATGTCAATGCTGATGCCTCCAGCAACTCTCAACCGGTTTGATTTGACGTTGGTAATCTAATGGATGATTCTCCCTCAGTGACCTCGACGCCGATGCCAACAGAATGATGTGTTGCCGTAGTAATTTTTCAGATTTGTTGTGATTATTCTCTAACGGGATTGTTTTTATGTTTCTAAGTAAAATACACTTGTATAATCAAAACTATCACGTTTGTGCCACTTATAGCCACTTTTGGCGAAATACCACTAATAGCCATTTCCGTCCAACTCTTTAACGCTGTTAACGTTAAGTCTGACTGAGCAAACGGAGAGGCTTATGTGTCCCGCCTGAGTTTTCCACGTGGATAATAATTAAAATAATGGAGAAAAAGACCAGAACACCTAATTTTTACCCACCCGCCATTTTACTCTATTTTATCGTCTTCTTCGAATTCACCTACCCTTATTCCCATCTTCGAAAGATGAAGGCGACGAAGTCAGCGATCTGCCTCCGACGACCAGCGTACCCCACCTCTATTCCTGCCTCCCCCCATCTGACCCTATTGCCTCCTTCCTCGATAAAGACATACATGCATCCGATGGGTTGACCAACCGACGGCGAGCTTTGGCGGATTCCTTCGAAGCTTGTTTTCTGCTGAATGCTTTGAAGGAACTTCGGAATCCACCCATAGCATACGCGATTTTACTGGGATTGTCGAAACCCTAATCTCACTTCAAAAGGGGATTTGTGCTCCCACTCGTGTGTACCGACTGGTAAGGTTCTTTTCTTGGTTCGTTTATTGTGGCTATGGATTGTGGGGTGAAGGTTCTTATAGTTTCTTCCTTCTCTTCCTTATTTGGTTGGTCTCGAGCTGTAAAGACAAGAAAGCAACACGGCAGAGGAATCTCGGGACCACTGGATTGATCCTTTCGGCAAGTTTGCCCCCATATCTGAAGGTGAGTTTGTCGATTTACTGGGTTAGAATTGTCGATTCCTCTTTGATCCCCCCGAACCCTAGAATTGAATATTGTTATTCGTTATTTTTTCCATTTGTTTGGTAGTGATTGAAATATTGTTAGCATTGTATAATCACGTGGTTAATGGTGTTTAAAAAAATTAAATGGTAATGACAGATGGCTGATTCTTGGGACTCTGCTTTTGGGGAGAACGATCCATAGGCTTTGGTATTATCAGATGTGTCCTTGGCTGCAGAAGATTGTATTGAGGCTTCTGTTGCTCGAGACATATACCACGTATATGACTCTAATGATGCAGATACTTCTGACGAGGAATACCACGAACCAAGGTCAAACCTGCAAGCTTATGGGGAGATGAAGAAAAGGAACGTGAAGGCGCGTATTGATGGCCATGGGGAGGAGGTCGAGCAGCTGGACGATTTTGAAGAAGAGGAATCCGATGATGAAGATTCTGAAGATGATGTGTTGGCTGACGAACGTGAAGATGCAGCTCCTGTTGCCTCTCAAGATGAGGAAGGAATCCAACCAAATGAGGCACCTCCAATCCAGGAAACAAGGGGAGAAAACTCAAACCATTAAAGTTATAGAGGATCCGAAGAGTCAAACCACGTGAGACCTAACCTATCTGACTCGGATGGTGGGGACATATTCGATGATGCACCGCAGTATGATCCATGTTTGATCACAACGTTCTCTAATTCGTGCCTCGGATGAAGTTTGCTAGTCCTGTGGAATTCAAGGTTGCTGTCGTCCGTCACTCTGTAGCTGTCGGGCGCTGGCTTGAGATGGGTTAGAAGTAATCCAACAAGGAGGGAGGTTAGAGGCAAGGTCAGGAATTGCAAATGGAGAGTATATGTTAGCTGGTTCCACAAGAACCAGAGTTTCATGGTGAGGAAGGCTGGTCTGCCTCATTCTCGTGCAAGACAGCTTCTTGTCAACCAAGTAACTGACCACTGGATTGCGAGTAACATGTTGGAAAGGTTTAGAATTAATCCTGAGTGGGCACCTGATCTAACTATGGCCGAGGTTAAGCTGAAACGCAATATGGAAGTTGCGAGAAGAACGTGTTATAGAGCCAAAGTATGCGCCATCGGGATGTTGGGAGGTTCACTAGTAGAGGAGTACCACAAGGTAAGATCTTAACTTGGTGAGTTGTTGAAGCGAGATCATCGAGGGACATTCAAATTACGAACACCAAAAACTATTGCTTCTACACAACATTTAGGCTGATAACACTTTCCTTACTTAGCTTGTGGGGAAGATTTTCGCTTTTCAAACATCACTCGTTCAAAGTTTACAATCTTATCATACCAATGTCGAATTACATCGACAATGTCGATTCATTTCTTACAGCACAACAATCAATTTGCAGCAGGATACTACATAATAACGTGGTGCAACCGAAGAATAACCAATATTAGTGTTATGTGACAATTGAAGTACCACATCGAAAATACAAGGAAAGGAACCCTCGTATATTATTGTCCACAAAGCTCATTAGTAAGAGGCCTTTTGGGGTGGACACCCAAGAGTAAAACCGTGCGGGCTTGGCCCAAAGCGGACAATATCGTACTAATGGGCTGCCCGATTCGACAAGTGGTAACAGAGGCTGGTTCGGTCTAGGGAGGTGGACGTAAGTTTGGTGGGACCCTCATTCGGTGACCTCGAGAATTGAGATCTGCATTTGTGTGGCGGGTCAAAGGTGACGCGCGTCTGTTTGGTGGATCTAGGAGAGATCCACGTTTGGGCTTGGCAGATCAAAGAGAGTTCTGCATTTGTTTGGGCTT